GAAAAGGGAAAGTGCAATATATAAGTTGAAATCATTAGAAAACTATTAATTTGAATTCTTTCCAATTTAATCATGTGAACCCTTTAAGGCTTTAACTAGTGATTATTATTATAAATCCGTCATCTCAAGTAGAGATTAATTGGCATGAATTTTCCTTATTTGTTGGTCACTTTACTCGGTAGGTCATTACCGACAAAATGGCAGCACTTGAATTTCTTTTATTTTTGGTCTAGGTAAGTCATTACCCGACAAAAAAGGTAGCGCTTGGAATGAAAAAACGCACATCTAAAGAGTCAAAAAGGTATACTAAAGTGTTTTGGTATTTGAAAATGAGTATCGTTATATTTCCCATTACGCTGTTTAACTTGATTATTCAAATGACGAAATAAAAGATTAATAAAGCTCATCATATGAACAATAAAAGTGGAACCCATAAATGGTAAAGAAAAGAAAACTATTAATTGTGACATAAAAGTCAATCATCTACATTTTAAAAAGAAGCACTGAATCTGTGGTTGCTTAAAAAACGGTTAATCGGAGAGGTGACATATGAGTTTTTTTTAAAACAAATAACTTTATTATTATTAATGAAGATGACAAGAACAATTACAATCATAAAGTTCAAGGCTATAATGAGATTATGAGATGAGACATAGAAAGAGACGATTCTAATCGAAAACTTTGAATCGCTAATCTCGCAAAGAAGTAGACTCTACCTGCAGATTGACTGCTCCTGCTACGATCACAATAACTATCAAAAGAACTCTTAAACATCCCGGTTTCTCCAGCCACCGGTAAGGAGCCAACTGTAGAATTTGTTCCGGTTTCATCAGCCACCGAAAAGAAAGCGATCCAAATGATCTAATCTTCCTAAAACGGTGGGGGTTCAGGAGGGGGGGATCCGTCTCAGTATCGGCGCAGAACAAAGTCATGTTTTTGATTAATGAAGAGATCAGTGCAAATCTCTTCTTAGCACACAAGAACGCCAGACCGAAAATGGCGGGGAATATTGATCTGGCAAACGATATTTCGCTATCGAAAATAATACCTCCAAACAACGTTGGGAAAGAAACAGATGAATAAAACTGAAAACACTGATTAAGAAGATGTTTTTCTATTACTGAAATCAAAGAAGATGGAAAGAAGAGAAAAAAAAAAGAGAAAACGAGAAGACGGCGGCTAGGGTTTTCCCATGCCATTGCCGCTCCTCAGATTTCTTAAGTTTCTTATTTTTATCTAGCTCTTAATTGAGTTAAAATCACAATTTAATTAAAATGTTTCAATAAGTTGAATCCCCAAGGGCCCTCACATCCCGGTTCGACAAGACATTTGAGAGCATGTAAGTCACGATGATTTATTCAGTTCAATGATGGTAGGCTTTGTACTCGTGTGCATCAGAGGTCCAGCCCAGCACACATGAACGGTAACGAGTGCCTATATGGTACATCCGGGTGTATGTACACCCGGCCCAACCAAGGTAGATAACCCAAAAACTAATACAGGCCAAAAATAATTCGGTGGCATTTTTGTAATTTAAGCGAAAAATCACGTCTTCCGCTAAATGAGCAATAATGTACTTTTAATGAGTATCAAACCTGTTTTATTGAATATTTAAGAGACTAACAATGAGTATCACGATCCCTGCTTCATATCTTCTAATTCTTTTTTCTTTTTCTTATTTTTTCTTTTATAAAAACTTATTATATTATATCTATAATACACTCCTATTAATTTTAATATCCGAGTCTAATGTAATATGATACTTTTGAAATATGCATTCATATAACAATTCAAAAATGAGCATAACATCAGTACCATATGAGCATGCATAACTTACAAAGTGCACATTGATATGAAAATCATAAGGTTTGTTAGTTGAACATCATGACATTTTAATTGAGCTTCAAACATCCGCTATATATTGAGATGAAAATCGTGGTTTCTTGTGCATGAGCATTTATGAACTTTTAATGAGCATCAGACCTATTAAAATGAGCATAAGATCAGTACCAGATGAGCATATGTAACTTACAAAATGAGAATTAATGAATTTGTTAGTTGTTTTGTTAGTTGAACATCACGATATTCTCATTGAGTATCAAACCTCCTCTATTGAAATTGATGAAAATCACGGGTTCTGTTAAATGAGCATTAATGAATTTTTAATGAGCATCAAACCTATACAAATGAGCATATGTATCATGATTTGTGGTCTCGTGTCTATAATCAACATCTATATAAATCTAATGTAATATGAGACTTTTGAAATATTCATTGCTAAAACATTTTAAAAATGAACATAGTAGAGATATTAAATGAACATTCATAATTTACAAAACGAGTATCGAAAAATTCAAAAGCTCATTTGTGTGTATTCATTTTTTATACGTTTTACTCATTTGATTTTGAAGTGAAATTCATTTTTAAAGTGTTCAGTATTAATATATAAAGAAAAAGAAAGAAGTAAATAACAAATAAAGAAATCAAAAGAAGTAAAGAAAAAAGACAACACAAAAGAAAGTAAAACCAACTGGTAAAAGTAAAGAAAAAAATGAAAAAGAGTAACAATCATGAATGAGTATGACATGAGTATGGCGGCAGAAGAAAAGAAAGAAAAGGGGATGGCTGCAGGAGTGGAAAGAAAAGAGAACAGTGGCGGAACATGAAAGATGATGGAGCAACATGCGGATTCAATGAGAAGAAAGATTAAAGAGCAAAGGCTTAAAGTTGCTAAAAATTACAAAATAACCGGGTGTACACGTACACTTGGATATATGGTATAATTTGCCAATTGTAACATCCACTCGACCACTGCGGATTTCGATTCTTGGTTAATGTTCTAACTTTCCAACTACTCAACCAACTGAACTACTCGTGCGGGTAATAATTTAATTAAAATAAAGCATGTCATTGGTGCCACTTACATGAATACTCTAAATATGAATAAAACATTTTTTTTGAATACTACTCCGTAAGTTAAATTTTTATTTCTAAATAAGAAGACACATGGCATCGTATTTATTTTGTATTTGAAAATAAAAAATGAGTAAGAACTACTCCGTAATACGTAGCAAGAACTATTGTTATGTAACAACGGAGTATGATTTTCACCCTTGTTAGTGTAGGACTTGAATCATAAGTGAAGTTAATTTGGTAGTAATAAAAAAATTATCATGCTCTGCAAATTTATATTGAAATAAATTAATAGCGTTTTTGGTAATTTGTCAATAATTAATAATGTGACAAGAAAATAATAATTTGAAGGAAAATTTCCAAAACAAGAATTGAAAATAAGAATAATTTCGCTTTTGGTCTTAGGAGTATCACATCAATTTCACAATTGCTCTACATCTTTGACTTTAATCTCTTTTAGTACATAACTATTGTTTTTCACCCATATATGATCCTTTTTTTATAGTTAAAATTGTCGGAGATGCATTGAAAATGGTAATGAAAACAATAGTTAAGTTCCAAAAGTGGATAAAGTAAAAGACTACGTGAACAAAATGTGGAATTGACATAAACTCGTAGGATCAAAATTGAAATTAATTCCATACTAAAAATAATCTAAAAACATCCTAGATGAATGTTGCATAAAACCCATAAATAAGAATACTTCAGTGTTACTGTTAGACTGTTGGTAAACCAGGGCGTATGAAAGAGTATTTTGTTAAACTGTTGATGTTCATCCCTCACCCTAATTGCTTGCCATGTGGCAAGACAAATCTTAATTATTTAGCAATTGTTTTAACGTTTTAAATTTTAATTCAATTTTATAAAAAAATATATCATTTTTTTTTTATTTTTTTAAGATCTTTCATACGGTACCGATATTGCATTTAAAAATTAAAAAAATCAACTTAGAAATGAATATTTATAAAAATACGATTTTTTGTCCAACTTTTTTATATACAATATTGATACCCTTGGAAAGATCTTAAAAAGTTATTAAATCTGATATATTTTTTAATAAAATTTGAATAATAAAAAAAGTTAAATTAATTTAAAGAAAAAAGGGATGGTAAGCCACATGGCAACAAATGAGGGAAATGAGTCCTTAGGGAGTTAGGGGGTGAACAAAAATGAAAAATTCTAAAGTTACACACTTTTTTGTGTACACACTTTTTACACATGTCTGTGTAAGGTTTTTTTATGTCTGTACAGACATAACGTATTTTAATTTTGTTATATCAAAACCTTACACAGACATGTGTAAAAAGTGTGTACACAAAAAGTGTGTACCCCAAGTCAAACTCAACAAAATTTTACTCCTATTTTAAAAAAAGGATGACACCCCATCCCTGAGGGTCGCCCAACCCCGACCGGACGATACGTTGGGAGGATGTAAATTGGACTATAATCCCAATTTGACAGATAGAAAGTGTGGCTTTGTTCCCGGTACTTGCAGAGACCCTATGCATTTTTAGCATAGTAACCCCTCATCGCAGTTGCTGGAATTCGAACCCGAGACCTAACCCTTGTGACACTTCCTTGCTATCAGTTGAGCTACGCCCACCGGTTACTCCTATTTTTCATACATGTGAGTAAGTAATCGAACTTAAGATGTTTTTAATTGGAATTACTCGCTATGGTCTGATCTGTTTAGTCTGACCTAGTTGGATTTCATCTAAATTTGTCTAGTTTAGTCTATCACATGTCTAGCTCGAGTATTTTATAATTATCCTGATCGATGTAGTGTGATCTATTTAAATCTAATACGGAGTATAATCTACATGTAAAAAAGTGAACCAAAAACATCATACTCCTTTCGGTTCTGAAAGATCTTTACACTTTTCATTTTTAGCAGTACCAGAAAGATCTTTACACTTCCTTATTTGCCTTATTTGGCAAATAAATCTACACAAAATAGTGCCAAACAATGCAAACAGTGTTTATTTTCTTAAAAATTGTGAAGTGAAATCGTGATCTTTTGGAAGTGGAGGGTGTATGAAAGTAAACAATGGAATCATCACGTTGCATTAAACATTTAAACGACTTACTTAAAGTTGCAGTTTGGAAAGTGGGTGTCCCGTCGATGAAGTTAGCGCTGCCGGAGATATTGGTTTTACCGATGCCGTCACCGTACATCATCACATTCCATTTCGTTTTATCCAATTCCACCTTCTCCACGTACTCCCCTGCCTTCACGTAAATCACAAACCTTGTTTTGCTCTTTTCCGGAACCCGGTTCACTGCCTCCATGATCGTCTTGACACTTCCCGGCGTCGCGCCGGTCTTGTCAACAATCACGTCAGGCTTCACCTTGTTCCCCTTCAGAAGTCTCCGATCGATGGGTTTGACCCATTCCGGAAAACCCTCTGCCGGGGGCGGCTGATTGTCAGCTAATAGCCTCCGATTGATCCCCGGAATCTTGAAGTCGCCGAAAATGGAAAGAATGTGAGTGACAATGGCCAAACTATTGCTGGAGAACTCGGTGGATTCCTTCATCGCCGCTTTCACTTTGCTCACAGTTGAACTGTCGGCTTTGATATCATCCAGAGCGTCCATACAGGTTTCTTGATCGGTGATGGAAGAGCTCAGCCATGTTTTCAGATCGGAGATGGTTGTAGAAGAAGTCAGCTTATCATCATCGCCGTCGTCTCCGCCGCCAACGGACGAGATGGAGTCTTGAAGCCGGTCGACCGCGTCATTGAAAACTTCCCGGCACACCTGGAAGGCCATTTTGGTGCTTGAATCGTTGACCCCTGTTTCCCACTCTGCCGGCTTGGAAGCCAATTTGGTCAGAGAATCGCCGACCACTTTCAGAGAAACAGCGAACAGCTTTTTCGGATCGGCGGTCTTGGCTTCGCTGGCAACCTGCGTCAAGCTCGAAACGCACGATTCTTTGTGCTGTGTGACACCACAGAGTGCCTTGACGACGGCGGACGCGGAAGCGGGGGCATTGTGAGTAGCATCGCCGGAGCTGTCACTCTTCCTCATTTCGTGAACGACAACTCCGGTTATTGTTCCGACGATCAGACCGAGGATAAGAACCACTCCGACGAAAATGAGGATTGCCTTCTTACAACTCTTCCTCTGTTTCTGCTTCTGGAGGTGGGCTTCTTGACCTAGCGGGTCGTCCACCTTTCCGTAGCCCTGGAAGGATTGGCGTGCTTCCATGACAGCGGCTGATGGAACAGTTAAACGATGAAGCTTAATTAGTATCGATGGCCGGCTTCGGATTATCTTTTCTTTGGTGTGTTTAATGGAGAATAGAAGCAGTAGTTGAAATGATCGAAAGTGGATGGGTGAATGCCTTGGCTAGCATGTTGGTCGTACCCTTCTTATACTCCGTATCTTGCAAGCTTTCAAAAGGCAATCCACAGACATCCTAGCTGGTATTTCCTCACTCCCACCCTAAATTAAATTGACTTTAACTGCTACGTATTTTAAAGAGGTATTTATATAAATAGGAGTAAATCAATCTTTAATTGTCAAAATAGGACTAAAGTCTAAAAAATTCCTAAATAGGAGTTATTATTTGTATTTGGACAAAAACGCCCTTCAAGCTTTGAAGTCATACGGAAGCCGACCAGAACACTGGAGCACCGCCACTCGCCGGTCGCCGCCTGTCACCGTGCATTGTTGTTTCTTCAAAATCTGGTCGCTGTTGCAGATCTGGTCGCCGCCGATGCAGATTTGGTGGGCGTCGTCAGAGATCTGGCCAGATCTAGCCTCCGCCGGCCGTCGGACGCTGCCCCAGTAGATCCGACCACCATCACAGCTAATCTGATATCTGTCGCCGCAAATCCGATCTCTTCAGTTGCAGATCTAGTCTTCAACTTGGCCGTTGCCAGCGTGATTCCAAGTTTTTCATCAGACTGCCATCTAAATGGCATTTTTAAAGTAAAATATAAAATTTTTGAAGACTAAAAATGCCATTTTGATGGCATTTTCAGAATTTAACTTGGAATTTTGTAATAATCAAACAAGAAACGGAGCATGGGGAAGAGAGAATCATAGAACTAGAGAAGAGGGGGAGAACAAACACGGCGGCGACGATGACAACGACGGCGGTGATGGCTATGACTGAGCAGTTGTGGAGTATTTCACGTCAGCAGCGGCGGGCTCGAAGCTATGCTTGTTCCAGTGAGAAGGGGAAGGGTGAAGAAGGTGTGTCCATTGGGGGGAGAAGATGCGGGAGAAGAGGGAGAGAAAAAGAAGAGAAAGATGCGCAGGGGGAAAGAGAGAAAGATGCGTAGAGGGAAGAGAAAGAATATGAGGTAAGTAAGTAATTGATAAGGCCGTATTTAGACACGTATTTGATGCGTGTTGAGATCGACTTTTGATGATTTTCCTAGATTTAAGGTGTTACAAGTCTCAATTTTAGTTCAAGTTATGTTTAACAGGCGTTGGTTCGAGTTTTGTGTCATTTGGAGTCAAAATCAGGATTTTAGAGTTCGGCACTGGCGCTTGAGAAGAAATCGGGATGAGTTGAGAAGCATTTAAGATTGATTTGAGAGCTATGGAGGTCAGCGGGAGGTTTACGATGAAGATTTGATGACAAAAGAGTTCTAGGATTGGCTTCGGGATCAAGAGAAGATGAATGAAGCTTGAAAACGACGATCAGGATGACCTTTTGTCAATCGTTCAAGCATATCTATTTGTAGAAACAACTAATCTACATGATTCAAGTTGTATATGAAAGACAACTTCAAGGGCTACAAATCATATGAAGACACTATTCCGAGAATATGAGTGCAATAAGGTGAAAAAAGATGATAAAGTTAGATGATCTCTACCGCGATTTCAGAATAACACCTTCCACCGTTTTTATCATATCTCTTGATTGGATGATTCACATCACATTCGTCAAGTTGGGGTGGATAGAGGACTTCATTATCTACAACTTTAATGAACGAAGTTTTGTCAAATTCGAAATAGAGAAAAGGATGAAGAACACGGATGCACGACCGCGCGTAAAAGGACGCACGATCGTGCGTAAGAGCCAACAACGCGATAACATTCTGCCTGCTACGCAAGATCGTGCGTAGCCCCGAGTTACGCGGGAAAATTTCACACATCGACCAGAATTGAGATTTTCCCCATCTTTTCTATAAATAAGGTCTCTGTAACCCTTTTTAGAGAGGACGAACATTACAGAGAGCCCTAGGGACGAATTTATTCATTGTTTTCCGCTATTTTACTCCAAGACACTGGGATTATTTGTAAGTTCATCTTGGTAATTAATAACAATTAGTTCTATTCTTTCCGATTCTGTTGATTCTTCAATTATGAATTGTGAGTAGTTTAATTAGGGTTTGGGATTGAAGAAGGGGTTGATCATGATGTATGGCTAGATTCTTGATGGTTTCATTGCATGAATGTCGTTTAATATGTGTTTGAATAATTTAACTGATATCTTTTGTAACCTGGAACGCACGCTAGAATTACAATTGCTTGTAGAATAAGTTAAGAGAGATCTAATTTATTCTAGGGCACATTCACACACACTTAATCGTTCGCAAAGAAATTAGTAGCGGTTAAGGGGCCGTAAGCTCGCTCGTCTTGGCAATAATTTATGATCATGTCGCATGAGAGATCAGCCTGGTCCCCTAAATTATTGTACTCTACGCCGCGAGAGCGGTAAGAACTTAGTATTGATTAGCTAGGCTTAATTAAATTAATTTCATGTGATTAAGCCTGATCTGCCAGAAATCTGATTACCCTGGAATCAATCCCTGTTCCCTTCGTCGTTAATTAAGAAGAACCCAAATCTTTACTTTTAGTCGTTTATTTGCAATTTTAATGGTCTCAACCAACCAAATCTCGCACGACTGCATTTATTTTATTTCTTTTCTTTATCGTTGAATTTAATTAATTCTTAATTCCCTTTTGTCCGTCCCTGTGGAGACGATACTCGTACTTACACACTTTACTACAATCTATTTTTAAGTGCGAGAAAACTTACATCAGTTTTTGGCGCCATTGCCGGGGACAGTGTCGATCTTAAGGATTAATTTAACTCAGTGATCAGTTTTTAGTTTTTCGCAGGATTTTTGTCTGCTAACCTTGCAGGTCAAATCTGTTTATGCATACACGTTCTAAGAGGGGAGAACCGCTAATTCCTCTTAATCTTGAGATCGAAAAGCTCGCCAGACAGAACCGCAAGGCCGAAAAAGAGAAAATCAACATGTACCATCAATCTTCATCTGGAAACATAGGGTCATCTAGTAACTCTAACCCTACTTCTCAGCCAGATTTCTATCATAACACTTCTCCACAATCTACCCCGCCAATTTTGCCAAGAAACCACCCGCCTTTTTTCCAAAATTACCACACCCCACCCATTTTCTCTCAAAATAAATCCGCACCACAACCAAACTTCCCTCCACTATATCAGTTTTTTCTAAATGTTTCTGCCATCCCTGAACCCACCGTTCCTAATCCAACCTAAGGGATGCCAGGCACAAATCCGAACATTCCCATCTTCCAGCCAAGACAGATCCCACCCCCAGTCACTCAATATCTCTTCCAAAACTAGCCTCAGTACCAGAATCCTTATCCAAACCAGTACCGCAACCAGCCCCAAGTTCCCCCTGCTCAACAACAATCAGCTTTCCTGCCTAGACATCAGGCCCCTCCACAAAATGATTATGTACCGCACAATAATCCACTCTATCAACGCTAGACCATTGCAGAGTTCCTTACGCCAGACGTTTTAGAGTATGATAACATTCAAGTGCCGGGAATTACTGCCAACCATTACGAGATCAAGCTGGCGGTGATAAGCATGGTGTCTAATAACCAATTTGGAGGAGGCCATACAGAAGACCCAGTGACGCATATTACCCGCTTTCTGAGGATGTACCAAACATTCAAGATACCTGGGTTAACTGATGATTAGGTAAGAATGATGCTATTCCTTTCTCATTGAGGGACGATGCGCAGAGGTGGTTGGACACCAATCCTCACCACCATCTCCAGACTTGGGACCAGCTGCATAGTACCTTAATTTGAAAAAGCAAAATGATCTGAAGCTGAAAAAGCATGGAAGAGTACTTCCCTACATCAAAGGCCCTTAAGTTGAAAAAGCAGCTACAAGAATTCAGGCAGGGATCTCTGGAGACTTTAGCTGAAGCATGGAAGAGGTTCAAGATACTGAGAAGGTCATGCTCTCAAGGCAAAATGAGCAACTTCGAGGTCCTATTTTTCTTTTATAATGGGATCAACAATGAAAGGAAGATGATGTTGGATGCTTCTGCCAATGAAGCCTTTCCTCATTTACAGCGTCAGGAGTTCTCCTCAGCAAAAGGCTCCAGGCCTATACGAAACCAGTGATAATTCGGTCCTCTCTGCACGGTTAGATACGTTGGCAAGCATGATACAGAAGCTCACAACCAGCATGGATGCTCTAGGGAAAAAGGTGGAACTTGCTCACTCGGTGCCCAGTGTAAATTTGGTTGTAACACCCCGGCCCCACATGGTCCGAGGTAGTTACTCTAGACCTCTAGTACTGTCCTCACAAACCGCCACTACCCTATTCCGCGCACTTTGTCCTCACTCGTGCGCGCTCTGAGAAACTTCCCAGGGTGTCACCCATCCCTAGGCTACTCCCGTGCAAGCACGCTTAACTTTGGAGTTCTTAGCTGATAAGCTACCTTAAAAGGAGATGCATCTTGTTTGTATGAGTAATACTATTAATCCGTTTAAATTAAATCTCAAGTGTTATAGTCACCCCCACTTAGGAACGCAACGTCCTTGTTGCACCCATAAACCAATCTCAATCAAATCCCAGAATCCTTTCCCCCCGCTAAGTGTCTGCCCGATATCCAACGGATCAGCACACTGTCGCAGGGTTGCTCTGATACCACCTATAACACCCCGGCCCCGCATGGTCCGAGGTAGTTACTCTAGACCTCTAGTACTGTCCTCACAAACCGTCACTAGTCTTTTCCGCGCAGCTTGTCCTCACTCGTGCGCACCCTGAGAAACTTCCCAGGGGTCACCCATCCCTAGACTATTCTCGTGCAAGCACGCTTAACTTTGGAGTTCTTAGCTGATGAGCTCCCTTAAAAGGAGATGCATCTTGTTGGTATGAGTAGTACTATTAATCCGTTTAAATTAAATCTCAAGTGTTACAATGGTAACCCCCGATCCTATGAGTCCTTCTTGTACTATGTGTGGGGGAATCCATTGGCCACATGAATGTAATATGATGACACACTCGGCAGCCCCTCGAGTGGAGCAAGTGGATGCAATGTATTATCAGCGGCAGGGCTAGTATAAACAGCCCTACGAACAGCAGCAACAAGGGAACTACGGGCAAGAAAATCAGCA